AAACAGATATCATTTGTTCTTAGGGGAACAGAAAAAAGAGCAACAGAGATATGTACTTCTGATAATCAAATAACCTTTGTAACCAGTCCATGTACTTTTATTCAAAATAGAAAAGATGAAAAAAACAGCCTGTTGAAAGTTCCATCATCTGAAATAGTTAATAAAGAGAGTTCATTAGCCACTGTTATCCCTTTGTTCAAATCCAGCAAAACTTGGGCCACATCTGATCTTGCTCCAAAAGAAAGAGTTTCAGATTCTGTACGGGAACAGAGTTCTGAACTAACCCAAGAGAGACCAACCACCTCATCAGTACAAACCTCTAATCAGCCTATGGCAACAACTGTAATCCTGCCTCCAAAACAATGGAATTCAGCTGGTGTTTCCAACAATACTTTGTCAACTAATCCTTTCCAAAAGGGCAAAGATACAAATATGGTGCCATGTACTGATAATCGAGACAATTTGCCAGAAATGAAAGATGAAAACATTAAATATGTTAATGATGTTAATCAGGGGTCACCTTTATTTCAAGGTACATCTAATGCTTCCATTTTGTGCAACATTGATCAAGAAGAGGACAAAAAAGAAAAGGGAATTGTGTCTGAAACCATGTCACCTTTGTCTAATGCAAAGTTTAACTGTGACTTGTCTGACGATCATAGATATCTGATAAATAACATGAATGACCGAAAGGGAGTGAAATTGCCCAAAAGCATTTTAAAGAAAGAATCTAAATATGAAAAGTATTGTTTCAAAGCAGTGGTTATGAACCGAAGGATCAGTTTTGGGACTCAAACTGCCTCTTCTATCAGAGACAGTCTAGAATTGGCAAAAATAAAAGGAAAAGATGCAGAAAATCAAAAGACCAATAAGAAACTTAGATGGTTTGATGAAATTGGCAAAATACTACTAGAAGATGATGAAAAGTTTTCAGAAAAGAACATCAGAGAAGTATCTCAGGTACAATTGCAGCCATTTTATATTCAAAGTAAACTTAATGCTGCTAACAATAATTTAAGAAGTATTTCTGATTGCACCACAAATTCTGTCTGCCCAGAAAATCACCAGGATTATCCCCTGATATCCACAAAAACTGTTGCTGCTGGAGGTTCAGAAAGAGACTGTATGCCTCTGCGTTCTTTTCTGTCTACAGGTTACCACTTTGCCAAACAAGCCTGGATGGCATCAAAAGGTGATGAAAGTAATCCCCCTGTATATAGTGGGGACTCTAAAATTCAGAAAGGTAATCTGCGCAAAGGTAAGACAAAGATAATCAAAAGACCAAGATCTGCCAAAACTCAGTCAGGTTTTATGCCTAAGAACAGAAAGGGCACTATAATCCGACCACAGACTGCTAGTGAAGTTCACAAGGTTATAAAAGCTCAAGGTAAAATCATTGTACCTCATCCACCATCAAAACCCTTACCAGGCAACAGGACAGATCAAAATGTAACAGACACTACATGTCAATCACTGAGTTCTTCCAATCTTCAGCCTAACACTACAAATGGTAACTATATAAATGCAACACATGTTTTGTCAGCAGATCATGTTTTAAATAGAACCATTGTAGAAAATAATAAGAATATTACTTGTAGTTCTAACTTTGTCTCTGTGATGGCACCTCCGCCTTCCTACAATGTATCTCCAAGTGAGCCTTTGGAACAGACAAATTATACTGTAAATAATATTCAGACAATTGCCCAGGAAGACAGCTTGAAAACTTGTATAAAAAGGAATCCTGTATGGGCAGAAAATGGACTACGTCTTGATCGTACACCAACTGATGAAGAAATACAACTTTTGTGGCAGGGTGTGCATAGTGCCCTAGCTGAAAAGGATTATGCTGCTGGTAAGAAGCATTCTTGTTTTGTTTGCTTTTTTTTCCCCTTCAAAATAGGAAGTTTTAAAATAATAATAGACTCTTGCTTTCAGTTACATATACTGTTTTCATCCGTTTACATAACAGTGTGAAGAGTTTCTACTTTTCTTCTTCTTCTTCTTCTTCTTCTTCTTCTTATTATTATTATCTATTTGTATTGTAGTAGCTCTTAGAGGCCTTACTCAGAGATCAGGGCCCATGACTTTGAATGTGTTAAAAGCATTAAATAAAAAGAAAATCCCTGCTCCCAAAAGATTACAATTTGGATTATTAAAAAGAGAGGTAGATGAAACAAATAGATGTGAGCGAAGGAAAACCAAGAACAAGTTAATAGTAAAATGAGTAAGTTTTACATGATAAACTATAGCTTGCCATCTGCTGGCCACTATCATCTGGAAAAATGTGATAGGATCTCATGAAAAAGCTATAAATCTACTATGTTTTTAAAATGATTGCACTATAAATTTTGGGTTTTGCGAAGACTCTGTCTTGTTAACATAGAGAACGTTTCAAAGAAAGTTGCCCATATTAATAGAGTAAAAAAAAGTAGAAGAAATTTCTAATAAAATGTTTTCTGGGAACATTAATATAGAGGTACACAAGAAAATTTAAGAGAATAAATCATATCTTCTTGCTAATGAACTTAGAAAGCATATTTCAACTGATTATTATATATTTATAAATGCTTTCCAAGTATCGCCTCTGCACCCTAGCTGCACTGTACTTAGCTGAGCTTTTGTGTAGTTTTCCAGCCTTGCAACCTCTTCAAGAGGCAGAGTCCATGACTCCTCCAACTCTACTTCATGTACCAGCAGTCACTTTATGCCTCCTACCATATTGTTGTGGCCATCCTGTGGATCATTCAGACTGGTGCAAAGCCCCCTTCTATTAAAGTATAGAGCTTCCATGTCCCTTAAGAATTGGGCTTGTAATAGTATATAAAAACAGACATACTGGGTCACACCAAAGGTCCATGTAGTCCAGTATCCTATCTTCCAACAGTGGCCAATGCCAGATGCCCCAGAGGGAGTGAGCAGAACAGGTAATATATTCTGTTAGTGTATTGTATAAGTCTTGCTAAAATTTCAGTCCATTGTTTCTTTATAGCACTAAATACATCTTGGGTTACTTACCAGCTGAAACTAATCTTGGTGCAGATCAAGAAGCTTACTTCCAACTTACTGTTTTTCAGAAATGTATTCATTTTAAAATGTATAAAGTTCCTTGGTATATAACAAATACAATTTCATTACATTCAGTTTCCTTTCAGGTGATTTCCAGCATTACGATGCTCATTATAATAATTCCTATAGCACTAACTTGCAACCTGTTAAAACTAACATATCCCACATTACTATTGATGGTGGAAGCCTTCTGACCAGTTTTAAATCACCTGGAATGAGTGGATTTTTCTCTTCTTCATCAAATGGTAAGAGACTTTATTTGTTAGAGATCACTGTAGTAAAGCAACAGAGAAAACACTGTTAAAAGTACCAAAACACATTCTGGAGCAAATTTTCAAAAGCTTACCAAACTATGTACACAAAAAATGGCCAAACACATACATAATTCCACATGCAGAACTCACATTTTCACACCAAGTAAGTGTAAATACAAAATGGGCATATAATATCTGTTTGGGGAGTATGAAAGTTCCTTATTTGCAATTGCAAATTCCACACATGAACATATGTTTCCCTTCAGGTGCCATTTAGAAGCTGAGTTTTGAAAATGTATTAAAACATTGAAGAAAACAATTAATTTTGCAACATAGTATCTAGTTTAGGATTATGTAGCTGAAAGAAATTGCTGCAAGGCTATAGAGTTTTTTCTTTTAAATACATTAAAGCAAGTAAAGATATTCATGAATGAGCAAGGCAAAATAAAACAAAGCTAAGGAGCTCCAATATGTACATTAGTGGTAGTAAAGTCTCATGGGTTGAAGCTTAGGCAAGTGAATTCAATTCTGTGAACTAGTGAACATCCCCTGCAATGTTCTGAGTTCCCTTAACTACTGTTGATTCACATAGGAGCTGAGACTATGCAGCCCTTAGTAGGAAGCACTGATTACCCTGGATAGTCAGGTTCTACAGTTGTTCCTAAATATTGCCTATCTTATAAATTGGAATTATTGTTTGGCGTGTCGTTAGACATTGCTGCATTGCACAAGTATCTCAGAAGCTAGCTAACTATTCAGTTTTCATCAACCCTACATATTTATAAAGAATCAGACACTATATGTTAGAACCTCAGAGTTATGAACACTAGAGTTACAAACTGGTCGACCACACACCTCATTTGGAACCAGAACACAATCAGGCAGCAGCAAAAAACAAAGGCAGAGACACAACCCCTCTCCTTCCCCAATACTATACAGTAATGTAACTTCAGAGGGGTAGCCAAGTTAGTCTGTAACTAGAAAAACTAAAAAAACAACAAATAGTCTAGTAGCACCTTAAAGACTAACAAAATATGTAGATAGTATCATGAGCTTTCATGGGCACAACCCACTTCTTCAGATGACAGGAGTATTAGAAGTCCAGATCCAGGAATAAATAAGGGAAGGGGTGGGAGGAGGAAAAAAAGAGACACAGTGAGTAGATGGTTCAAATAGTTACAAGAGGCTGATAAGAACAATTAGCACCTCCATTGGCTGGTTGGTTCAAGTCATTAGAATGTGGAAGGTAGTGTGCGAGCCACCCAATGTCCCTGTTCATACTATTTGCATAAGAATTAAACGTGAATGAAGTTAAATTCCAACCCTTTTCTGTGTATTTGGCTTGTGGAATTGGCCTGAAACAAAATGGTGACTTGGAGATCCATTAATGAGTGTTCAGGTAGATTAAAGTGTTCTCCAATACTTTGTGTACTGCTTTTTCAGATATCTGATTTATGTCCATAGATATTCTTTCCATAGAGACATTCCAGTTTGGCCAATATACATTGCAATGGGGCATTGCTGCATTTAATGGCAGAGATCACATTAGTGGATGTGCAGTTAAATGGTGGCTGTGATTGGATCCAGTGATGAAATCGCTAATGTAGATGTCTGGACAGGCACCAGGGCTGATAGCAGGGGTGGGTTCCTGGATGATAATGATGGAGATGTGTTGCGTGGTTACTGGAAAGAATTTGTTTGAGGTTAGAGGGCTGTCTGTAGGCAAGAATTGGCCTTTTCCCTAAGGCCTCTGAGTGAGGAGTCATTTTCCAGGATAAGTTGTAGATTGTTGATAATGTGTTGGAGGTGTTTAAGTTGTGGATTGTTGTTTTCTCTTTTGGGCCTGTCTTGAAGTAGTTCATTTTTCTCTTTTGGCTCTGTCAATCTGATTTTTCACTTCTCCGGGTGAGTATTTCGGTTTTAAGAATGTTATATATAGATCCTGTAGTTATTTGTGTCAGTCTGTAGAATTGGAGCAAATCCGGTTGTATCTTAGGGCTTTTCTGTACACAGTAGATTGAGAAATGTGTCTGGGATGGAAGCTAGAGTCATGAAGATAAGTATAGCGGTCGGTAGGTTTCTGGTATAGGGTGGTGGAAATTTATCCACCGTTTAGTTGTACTGTAGGGTCAAGGAAGTGGATCTTTCTTGTGGACTAATCCAGGCTGAGGTTGATGGTGGGGTGGAAGTTGTTGAAATCACTGTGAATTTCTTCGAGGGTCTCTTTCCCATGGGTACATATGATGAAGATGTCATCAATGTAGCATAAATCGAGTAAGAGTGTTAGGGGCAAAAGCTGAGGAAAAGTTGTTCAAGATCAGCCATAAAGACATTGGCATATTGTGGTGCCATGCAGGTACCCATGGCTGTGCCACTGACTTGAAGATACAAATTGTCTCTGAATTGGAAGTAGTTGTGGATGAGGACAAAGTTGCAGAGCTCTGTAACCAGGTGTGCAGTGCTGTCATCGGGAATGGTGTTCCCGATAGCTTGTAATCCGTCTCCATGTGGAATGTTGGTATAAAGAGCTTCTACTTCCATGGTGGCCAGGATGGTATTTTCAGGAAGATTACTGATATTTTGTAGTTTCATCAGGAAGTAGGTGGTGTCTCGAAGATAACTAGGAGTGCTGGTAGCATAGGGTCTGAGGAGAGAGTCAGTATAGCCAGATAGTGGGATCATAGGCGAGAGGCTTATAGAATATGGTGTGGGTGAGTTGCCTGGTTGCCTCCTGTTCATAATCTGTTCTGTTCATAATGACTACAGCACCCCCTTTGTTAGCCTCTGATTATGATGTTAGAATTGTTTTTGAGGCTATGTATAGCATTGAGTTCTGCATGACTGAGGTTATGTTATATGATGTTGTTTGTTGACAATGTCACATTGAGCATGTTTGCGGAAGCAGTCTATGTAGAAGTCAAGACTCTCGTTATGACCATTAGTACAGATCCACATGGAAGCCTTACTCTTGTGGGATTGGTGGGGGGAGCAGCAAGGTCAGTGTGTTGTACGTCGGTGTGTTGGAAATATTCCTTTAGGTAGAGGCAGTGAAAATAGGCTTCCAGATCTCCACAGAACTGAATCATATTAGTAGGGGAAGTGGGGCAGAAGGAAAGTCCTCGAGATAGGACAGATTCCTCTGCTGGGGTAAGAGAGTGGTTGGATAGGTTGACAGTTTTGCTAGGTGAGTTGAAAGTATTGGGAATGAGAGATCCTGAAGCATGTAGGAGTTTGGATAGCTTATTGTCCTTTTTCTTCTGAAGGGAGATGAAGTGATCCTTTTAGGTGGTTTGTCGAATTTTAGTAAAGTCTGGAAAAGATGAAGTGTGTGTAAAACCTTGGTTTTTTTATGACAGTTTCTAATGTTGAGAGCTCCTCCTTGATTTTCTTCTGTTAGTTGTATAGAATGCTGATACGGTGGTTCCTGAGTTTCTTTGAGAGAGTGTGGCATAATCTGTGGGTATAGTCTGTGGGATACATAGATTGCAGTGGGTTTTTCACCTTCACTCCCTTAGTTATAACAGTATTGTGTTAACATAAAAAGAGGGGAGGCCAATATTTTTCTTCTGCACAGTAAAGTTTGAAAGCTGTGTTCAGTCAATGTCCGTTTGTAAATTTTTGAAAGAATTTTTGAATGTTTTGTTCAGAGTTATGAACAACCTCCATTACTGAGGTCTTCCATAATATCAAAGTTCCAATAATCTTTGCATCTCTGTATTTAGCTTGCCTTTACATACTGGCTGCTTTTGTATGTTTCTAATTTTAGATGCCGTTCCTGTCATAAGACAAAAACAAATTTCTGACAACAGCAAAAATAAACGTAGAGCTCTATTAGAACAGAGGAAACAAATTGTTGCCTCTGCAGGAAGATCCACTCATCATGCACTGGTAAATATCATTTTTAGAGCCATTGAACTGAAAATATCAGTCAAAAGTTGTCACAGAATAATATTTTCCTACTGCTGCATACTTGTTAGAGAAGTAATGGAAAATAAATACTGAAGTAAGTCAATGTTATTTTAAAACAGGAAACTTTGATTCCATGACTGGTTACTTTAGGAATGATTGGTACAAATACATTGATTTGGTTTGTTGGGTGATGATACAGCAATGTGATAATTCCTTGATGTCCTGCTGTTGGCTGGCTGCATTCTGATTAATTTAAGAGAACTTGCTGGTGCACACTCTCAGATTATTTAAGAAGAGGTACAGATAAACATGTAAAAATATGTGCAACAAATCATGCGGTACCTAATTAACAAAATAAAGGTGCAGATGCATTTTCTCCATTTTTCCCAGCACTGTGCTCATCATCAGGATTCTTCTGCTCTTTTCCTCCAGCACCACAGCTAAAGTTTCTCTCTCTTTGGTTTCTTTTTCTTGCCTGGGGAAGCATGTAATATGAATATGTTAAATACAAATGTTTCAATCCAAAGGTTTTGTGCCTTTTTTTTCCCTTTTCTGTTTTTACTTCTTGCTTTTCTCCTTTCATATCCCATTTCATTTTTCCCTTTTATATTCATACAGTTTTCTCTTTTTCCTCTTTTTTTCTACTGCTTTCTTTATTTCTCCCTCAATCTCTGTTTCTCTCCCTGCTTTTCTCAAATCTCTTTGCTTCCTTTCCCTCCTCCCTGCCCCCCCAAATTTTCCTTCTCTCTCAATCCATGCTTATGGTAGTCCAGCTTGTTGTTTCAAATAATTATTTATAAATAACTCTCTAGTTTCAACATGCTCTCAGATTATGAGAGGCTTCTAAATACAAAAAAATTACGAGTTTTTAGTTGCAGCCTCACCTACAGACAGATATATATGCAAATCTGAAACTTTATTATTTCTGTTTACATTGTCCTTTCTGTTAGAATAATACACATTTTGGTAATGCTATGGGGTCTCTTAAACTTGACATAGTTTAGGGCCTCAGCATGTCTTAATCCAGCCCTGCCTGAACTGATATGCAGCTAATAATTTAGGAAGAATGTCCTATCTGTTCTTTGTTGTAGAACACTACTCAATAATCTGCATTTATTTTGCACAGGAATTTTCCATGGACATAGGGGAGCTCTTCATGAAAAACAAATGCATAATGTATAACAGAAATCTACACTGATGATAGAGAGGATAATTTTACCTTAACTTTGAATTTCAGTTGAGAATGGAAATTGCATGTACTAGTTACACATAATAGAACTTTATGTTATAAGATTTATGAAACTTTTGAGAAAGCAAAACCAGAGCCCCAGTCTTGAACATATTTAACCTTATTCATGTGAATAAAGTTAAAGTGTGGTAAGTGCCTGCAGAATTGAGGCCTAAAATCAATTGAGTCCACATTTACTTAATTCTTTTCAAGATATATAGTCTCATGGCTATTATAAAACACCAGCAAACATACAAAGTTACTAAAAATAGTTACTTGATTATTTTATGTATTGTTAATTTAAGAGAGCCTTTTGTTCATGAAGAAAAGTCACTTTGCTGGAATCAGAATTTTCCTATGGCTTAAGTGTCTATCAGATTACAGTGAAAAATAAGCACTTTCAGAAAACTACAAAAAAAAAGTCACAGGTCCCAAGAATCTTTCTCTGAAAATGAATGTGAAAGTCCAACATTTCTGCAAACATAAACATAATTTCTCTGAAGATTCTCAATAGATTTTAAAGATTGTAACAGTAAAATTCTTTATGTACCCTTACAACAGATGTATTATTTTATTTTGGGATTTTGCTGCTATAAACCAGTCACCAAAAGTACATAAACTAAATGTTGCTATATAACCTTTATAGAAGGCATACAGCTGTTTTGAGATTCATTAAGCATCATTGTTTATTCCAAATATAAATGTTTCTTCACATAAAACATTTTGTGTTCCTCATTTTGTATATATAAAGTATACATAGCAAAATTAAATATTGCTGTAGCTGTAAAAACTTGTAGTAGTAGTGATATAATGGAATATGATTTAGTTTATAGTAATCTGATATGGTTTACATCATGGTTCTTGTTATTAGCTCCAGGCTTCTTGTAGTTAATTTCAGAGCTAAATACATTAGAGACTATAAAAATACCAAACTATGTTAGTACAAGTTCTTTTACATTTTTGGCAAAATGATGGAAATTTCTTGTTTGTATATAGCACTAATAGAACATCTTGGAAGCTTTGTAAATAACTTTAATATGAACATTATTATGAATATGAATTGAATAGAAACAAATTTTGAATCATAGTAATTTTTACACCCATATTCATTCAGAATTAAATTCAGTTCTGTTTGAAGAGCCAGCATTAGGCCTGTTCAGTCCTTAATTCCTATTTGAGTCCTGTTTTGAAGGCTTATGTGGGATTTTGTGCTGGCCCTTTGCACAGTGGTCAGTTTCACCACCATTGCCAGCAACTATTAATTCAGTAGTAGAAATCAAAGCTATCCAGTGAACATGGTTAGAAGTCTGGAAAAGTTTATATATGAGATTACTACTTAGACTATTCTTATTTACCCTAAGAGAGATTTTGAAGTAATGTCAAAGGGTATCTGTCAAGAACTTTTGAACCCTCAGTGTTCCTACTGAAATTTCTGTTAAGTCTAATAAAAGTGTAAAACAGTAGTCAAACAGAATGCCTCTAGTGTCTCTTGTTACTATGGTCCCCCCATTACACTTCTTTAGTGCAGGTGAACCACAATATAGACAAAGGTATATAGACATTTTTTGTGCTTTAAAAAGCTTTTTAATTGCTCAGATTTTCAGAATAGCTTTTGAACTTGAAAACACATAGCCTGTTAATTTTCGTAATATATCCTACCTTATTTAAATAAAACATTTAAAAGCTTTAGAAGTCTTAAGATTTTAAATAATTGTTAAATATTATTCTAAGTGATCAATTTTTACAGAATACAGTGCATACTGTACAACTAAGCCCATTTCAATGTGAATTTGAACCAGTGAAAACTGTGAGTGGCAACCCTAATTCTGATGAAGGTACAGTAGCTCGTTTCAGTTCCACTTTTTGTTATAGATAAAATACTTGCACTATATATCAGCTTTTGCTTTGTAGCATTAATAAGTATGAATCAAAGTACGGTGTATTTGATGAAAATAAAGATTGTAGCACATCACAACATCATATATATTTGATAGGTGAATTTAGAAAAGCATCATGAAAAAAATCAAGTCTCTCTTCCTCTACTGTATTTTTAAGTGTATTACAGCTACATGTACAGGCACAGAATGTCACCATGAGCTGGCTGTAAAGCTGGCAAGACTGGCTACTCTACCTTATCTTCTTCTGCCCCCATATTAGGAACACAGACAACCTAAAGTCTTCATGACTTTGTGACATTAATATTGTTATGTGGATTTCTGTGTGTAGCATATTCATGAAAAGAACCAGTAGGTTTAGATGTTTTAAAATATTCTAATTTGAAAAAGTTCAGAGTATGACCAGTTCTGTAAAATGTTTAGTTTCAGAAAGCACTGCCCAGTTTTTGCTGGCAGAAAATCTAGCAGGTACATCCGTTACAGAAGGTGAAATCCTGGCTGCTATGGAAACGGTGCAACCACCTGGACAAACCATGATGCTTAACAAGGCCCAGAGACGAGGCAGGAGTGCATTATCACTAGAAGAGCAGAAGATACTTCAGTCACTTGATCGCCTTAATCAAAGGCTGCAAAGTAAGTTCAATATATAGTATTAAGATAGTAATAACTTATATTCTTCTTTGAGTGATGTCCTCGTGGGTACTTCACTGTAGGTGTCGGGTCGCCCCAGTGCTGCAGAATGGAGTTTTGCACAGGAGTAGTCAGTTGGGCTGCACATGCACACGAGGCGCCTCATGCTGTTCATACCTATTGCTTCATACATGCACCCTGGCCCCTCCTTGTTCCTTTGTTACCACCTTTGGCAGTAGACGGTACTGTAAGCTGCTCTCCTCAGACAGTTACTTCAGATTTTTGCCTTTGTTGGTTGTTATTTCCCTTAGTTTTAATAGTTATAAGGTTTTTTTTAGTTAGATCAGTAACAACAACAAAAAATTGATGAATAAACTGATAGGAAAGAGAAAACATGACTCGGCAAACCATGACCGGCTCCCTGGTTTTAAAAAATATGGCACATGACACAAGGCCAACCTGAACTCCGATGGACACTCTCCCTGCATTTGCTGTCTTGGTGAGGGGCATATTCCACAAAAATGCCCTCACTGCAGCAAGTTAACTGCCTGAGCTCATCAAGATAGGGAGATGCTGCTCTGCATGTTCCTTTTCGATAAGGCACTTCAGCCTTCAAATATGGAGGACTTGGCTGTTCATTCCGAGTCATCCAAGGCAAGTTCACCAGTGCCTAAGCCATGCTGAAAAAGAGGCTTTCACCAACCAGGCTTTGCTGGCCTCTACATCAATCCAGATCAGCTCTGGCGATAAACAGGAACATCCGGCACTGCGCGTAACCAGCCTGTAGAACCATAGATCTGCCATGAAACTGCTATGGCACTGATTTCCCCAACACCAGCACAGACGCCAGTACCAACACTGTCAGAACCTCCAGCACTGAGTAAACCAAAAGAAGCCAATAAACCTTCCTCAGCGGCACCTGCAGTGCCGGTTAGCCAACCGGTGCCGATGAAGGCTTGTGCAAAGACAAACTGCACCCACCCTTCCCTGAGTCCGGAACCAGCTTTCTCACCAACACTGCCATCATTATCATCACTGCTGTGTTCACTGACACCCATAGATGGTTCGCCGTATACATGTCATCATACTCATCACTGTGCCTCTCTAGCACCAGCAGGACCACACACTAGTGCTTCGAGGCAGCTTTCTCCATCTCCATCCCAATCGTCCAGAGGCTTGGTTCGATCTCTATGATCACTGGTGCCATCAGTTCGCAGTCTCTCTCACAAACACATAAGTGTGTCTCATCCACACACCATTCCCTGACCAGGTCATATTATGATAGATACATACACGCACGTTCATACCATGTTCATACCTGCCTCCCTGGAGGATCGAATATTATGCAATATCACAGCCATTGGTCACCATGTTTTCAGTGTTCAGTCTCTTGATGTTATTCAAGCGCTCTTCGTACACCATCTTCCAGGCAACCGCCCCCTTCACCACATTCTCACACTTCTCCAGTACCAGTTCAGTGAGGAATGGAAAAGGGCCAAATTACAGAGGAGGAGGAAATACAACACTCAGATATGTCCCCTATAGACCAATCCTCATCATCTGCAGATCAGGGTGTCATGCTGGGTAATGTTTCCCCCATTGATGACCTCAAACAATTTCAAGAACTATTCAAAAGGGTGGCTGCAGCCTAGGAGGTGCAATTTGCAGAGGTCACTGCCAAGCAACTTCGGCTTCTTAAAAACCTTCAGTCTATTCTTCATCCACGTTATTGCTCCATCTGACCAATTATGCCAGCCGTCTTTCAAACCATGACTTTGACAATTATTCCAGGTTAACAGAACTCATGGAATATCTTCCTGATAATACTACACTCAAATCCATAGTGCAAGAGGGATACACAACGGGCCACACATTCCTGCAAATATCATTGGATGCCGCGGACAAGATCTATGGCTACGTTGATTGTTATGCATAGAGCCTCTTGGCTCCAATCCACTAGTGTGCATGAGGAGCTTCAGGGAAAGGTCAAAGACCTACCCTTTGATAAGGATAAATTGTTTGCCACCAGAACTGACAAAGTCCTACATTGCAGTAAGAACTCCAAGACCACTCTTAGAATGCTGGGGATGTATATCTCACCATATAGGTGCAGGCAATGCTCACTTTATCATTCATACCATCATCAACTGGAATTTCCCTATTCTAGAAACTCCAACAGGTCCTTTGATCAGGGCCACTCCAGACCAAGAATTCAGAGAAAGAGGCAACAGAACAACCGTCCTTCTGCTTCTCATAATAATAAGCAGCAGGTATGAAGTCTTGGTCGGAGGCCTGCACGACCTTTCCCACACCCATCTCCAGAATCACTCTGCCATATTTCACAATCGTTTATGCCCTTTCTATCATCAATAGGCTACTATCACAACTGATTCATGGATTTTAGATATAATCACTACTAGTTACTCCATCCTGTTATTTCGCTTCCCCCATCCTTCCCCTCTTCAGGGACCCCTCTCACAAGGATCTTCTACCCCAAGAGGTCCACCAACTGTTGGCCATTGGAGTCGTTGAGAGAATGCCAGATCCATTAAAAGTCAAGGGTTTCTACTCAAATTACTTCCTTATAGAGAAATGTGCGGGAGGGTGACCTATCCTAGATTTATGAGCTCAACAAGTACCTCAGAAAGCAGTGATTCAAGATGGTCACCCTAGTATCCATTATTCCAGCTCCGGACGAGGGAGATTGGTTTGCAGTGCTTGACCTGCAAGATGCTTACTTTCATATGACGATACATCCTTCTCATAGATGACTCCTTTGCTTCACCACAGCATCTGAGCATTTCCAATCCCGGGTGCTTTCGTTTGATCTATCTTCAGCTCCTCGAGTTTTTTCCAGGATGCTAGCTGTGGTTGCTGCTTTTCTTCATCGTCAGGGTGTGATTATGTTTCCCTACCTCAATGATTGCCTCATAAAGGGGTGTCTTCAGAGGAGACTCTCCATATGAGATATATAGCTCAAGACCTATTTAGATCTTTAGGTCGTCTTATCAACAACCAGAAGTCCACTTTTCAGCCAACACAATCCCTAGAATTCATTGGCACCCACCTCGATTCCATCCAGACCTGTGCCTATTTAATGACTCAGGGTATGTCTACACTACAAAGTTAGTTCGAACTAACGGATGTTAGTTCGAACTAACTTTCATAGGCGCTACACTAGTGCTCTGTTAGTTCGAATTTAATTCGAACTAACGGAGCGCTTAGTTCGAACTAGGTAATCCTCATTCCACGAGGATTAAGCCTAGTTCGAACTTACTAGTTCGAATTAAGGGGTGTGTAGCCCCTTAATTCGAACTAGTGGGAGGCTAGCCCTCCCCAGGTTTCCCTGTGGCCACTCTGGCCAACACCAGGGAAACTCTTCTGCCCCCCTCCCGGCCCCAGACCCCTTAAAGGGGCACTGGCTTGCTATGGTGCCTGTGCCAGGTGCAAGCCTGCCAGCACCCAGCCAGCAGACCCTGCACCTGGCACGGATCGA